ATGCTTTCGGAATCATCTTAATGCATTTTTGGGTTAGAGATATGTCTCCTACTTCACCTTATTAATAAAATTGTCTTGTATAAAAAACCAGAAGTTTTATAAAAGAAAAAAAAAATAATTTTACAACAAAATATCAGTAATTTAATTTCTAAAATTGTGCACATAAATAATTGTCTATGGCAGGCCAACACATACATGCTGGGTACATGTTCGAGGGGATATTTGCTGAAGTTACTGATCATGAACTATTAATATTTGTAGTATTCTAAACAGATCACGAATAACATAACAAAAAGACAAAAGAGAACCGTAGACCAGATAACTTTTCTTGAAATCCAAGCAAGAAATAGGCACACACATGCATGTTTACTCCCTTACGTTACAGAATTGGAAAATCATGTCGACCCTATATCCAGATAATAAGTGGAATATATATAGTGGATAATTGTCCTTTGAATGCATGTTGGGGATGTTTATTTATTTAATTTTTCTCAATTTGCAAGAAACGGATCTCATTGAAAATTGGTAATAAGTTTAACTCCTAATTCCCTGATCTCCATTGAAAATGGTTTAACAAAATTTTAATTAAACTTTATTATGACCTAAATAAAAACTTTAAATTATAAAACCCGAGAAATCAATTTTACAATTTTAAAACTGGTTTGGTTTTAGTAATGAATTTGGTCAAAACATTGAATATATTGAGATCATAATGGTGGATAAACAATAATACGAACTACATCATGTGGCTCAAAGAGTCTAGGAATTAACAACTGATCATAATAGAAATTAAGGAGGAAAATCACCATGCGGCCTTTTGAAGAGATTGATCCGAGTCAAGTTCTTAAAATCATATGGTTAATTTATAATAATACTATAGAGATTTGAATTTGCACGAGATTAGACTTTTCATTTTTCAACTGCATGATATAGATAAAGCTGAGAACCTAAGCAATATTAATTAACGTGATTCGCGTGATTTTCTTTCTTTCTTTGGGTATAGAACGCGTAATGCTAAACAATCTCTACAAGTTGAGCAAAACATTTCTGCAAAACGCAAATAAGCGAACCCTTGAACTTTGGTAACCTATTTTAAATTGTTGTGTGTGCTTTATTTGATGATATAGTTCACTTTATTGTTATTCTAGGGTTAAATTCTTTGCTTCCTAAGATGAGTTGAGAAAACATTATCTGCAAGGAAACTTCCAAAAGTGAGTAGCGACCCTTTTTTTTTTTTTATACTATTAATTATTTTTTTAGTTTTCGATAATTAATGAATGATAATAAATTATTAAGTATGCATATGAAAAATGCGAACGTGAGAACGATATGTAATTAAGTATTCTAAAATGGAAAAGTAATTATTCATAAGATGAGCGTGGCCACATGGAGATTGGCATAATTGGTGGTGTTGAAAATATGAACATCACTACGTGGGGATTCGACATGGAAGCAAGAATATTAATTCAAATATATATTAATCGAGTGGATGAGTTATAATTATTTTCGCGGCGTAATACGATCAGATCCTGATCAGAAAAGTTTTTTTTTTTTTTCGTCATATCATTTTTAATTTTATCCTTTTTCTGGGCATATTCTCTTTTTAATATTTTTCCATGCATTAACATCTTTTGAAACTAATATATAAAATAAATAAATAAAAACAAATCAATATAATTAAGACTAGTGACTATATGCAATTATCAACCAGTCTGGCATTAGGCAATATCATATATATATATTGCATCTCTTGATGCCAAATTAAATCTGAAACGGCCAATGTGAAATTCAACGCTTATATGTAGATAATTAATAATAAAAAAACATAAATTGGAGTGTGGATTTAAATAAGTAAAGTGATGTGATAACTATGTTAATTAAAAATATGTATAAATTGAATTTTTGCAATATAAAATGAAAAAATGCAGGTATACGTATTTTATAAAATTTTAAAATATTGGATTTTCATTATCAATCTTTTTCTAATATATGCATTTTATTTCACTCTTGAAAATCCAGTCAATTCAATAATTGTCCTTATTTATGTATGACCCGCCTCCAACTAAACCTAAGCTATGATTCACAAATCACAACTCGACAAATTTTAATTTTTGTTACTTTTTTCTGAAGTATTTTTACCTTTTTTAAAATGTGAATTTATTCCTTTGAATTACAGTCTACAAAGTACAAAGACCAGAATCTCATTATATAAGTGACACTTTCAAAACCCAAACATCATTCTTCTCCGAAAACTCGCAATTCACATATAATATAGTATAAATTTCTTATTAATTAGTTCCCAATTAATGCCCAAATTTTTAGCTAGTAAGTGTCTCCTTTATGCACTTTACTTCAGGATATCATGACAGAATAGAAAATATCATAATTAATATTTATTGAAACATAATAATTAACTTTTCAATAATTATATATGATAATTAAGTTGGAATATACAGTTATTATAAAGTTTTAGTAAATGTACTATATTACATTAGTTAGGACTTGGGAGTATTTAAGAAATATTTCAATTTGGTAGACAAGTTATATATATAAAACTACTATGATCAAAAAATAAGAATGCCTATACCATGTATAAAACAAAATTATGGATCATATACATATACGCTAGAAGCCTAGAACAATATACATATATCGTATCAAATCCATGTCCGTTTCTCATCAAAGTGCAGTCACTGAACACTACAGTTCAGTGGGTTAATTATTTCAAGTCTTCGTAATTGTTAATAACCTTGTTTTACCAGTACACCTAAACCTCAGAATTTTGCAACATTATAGATAAATGGAGTGGTCCTCAGAGTGACTTTTAACATAATTAGCTCTTTTGAAAGACACACTCTT